GTGGCCAGGGGACAAGAAACAAGTATTAAAACATGGCTTACTTTGGGGTCAGGTGATGAAAGGGTAGCATCACGCAAGACCTTTTCGGTGCTATGTATTAAACCGTAGGTGGAAATCACAGATTCTCTTTCACTCTCAGAATGATTGTTGTTCAGCAAGGCTGGGTGTTTTTGATTCTTGAGGTCCATTTTTCCTGTTATGGGAATAAGTCAAAGTAAAAAAGACATGAAATTCTGTGTAATTGTAAGACAATTAATAGCACATTTGGCAGTCTTCAAAAGATATTACCATGATTTCTGGATTGCCGGAAATTTTCACATACTTCCTCTTTTTCTTCAGGGGCATTCTGGGAAGGAAAAACACAGGATGCCACGAATTAGCAAGCACTATAAAGACACTTTCTTCTCAGAAGCACAGAGATAGTTTTCTGAAATACATCATATCTGATGCAAGGATCAGTTCATAGGAAATAATTAGGGAGAATGCCTTGTGTTCTATTAGACTTGTATGCAATGAAATTAGAAATCAACAGGAGAATAAAAACTCAGAAGCCCCTCAAGCCCCCTCGACTGAGTGATCAAATACTGGAGAGCAGAAGACACGAGAGATGGAATAAACAATACTCCAAGGTTACTGAGAAGAGCCACACAACGTATCCACTACCCAGGGATACTCGGAACGTGGTTCAGAGAAGAAGCTTCAGAGCCCTGATCTTATTCCTTAAGAGAACAGAATATCTCCCAAACACAAACCTCCAATTATATTTCAAGGCCATAGAAAAAGAAATCAACACTGAAAGCAGTCCTTGATGGCAGATAATTGAAATCAGAACCAAACTTTAAGAAATGGAAACAACAAGATTACAACAAAATCAACAATATACCAACTTGGTTCTCTGAAACCAAATGTAAATTTGATCAAACTTTATGCACACAATCCAAAGTCAGGAGGAGAAGAGTCAATTTCCTGAAATTTGGAATGAAAAGGATTGATCATCAGGGAGCACAATGAAACACAGAGGATAATCAGAAACTATTTCGGAAACTTAAACCAGCATTGCAGACCCAAATGCACATCAGAAATTTACACAGATCAGAATCAAGCAATGAAATTGAAGATACACTGAACCCTACCAATAAAGGAAAGTCCAGGACCTGATGGAAGCTGAGCTGACTTAAACCAGTCCTTTTATAAAGAGTTAATGGGAAATCCCCTGAAACCATTCCATTAAAAATTATGGAGGGAACCCGGAGAGACTCATTGTATTAAGGCCACATCACCCCAATTCCAAAACCAGACAAAGACCAATCAGGAAAAAAAACTTGAGGCCAATCATCCTAATGAAAATAAATGCAGAAGATCTTAGTAAAACATTGAGAATTCACTTACCAAAGTACAGGAAAAAGATAGGACACCATTAGGATCCCATGAGATTCATCTTGGGATGAAATTTGGGCTCCAGAGATGCAAAACAATAGATAACAGGGCAACCACACATTAGGGAAACCACTGTGGGAAGCACTATGGAGATTCTTCCAAAAACATGCTATGGAACCACCCCAGGATCTGCATATCCACGCCTCTCTTGTGTTCAGCTGACCAGCAGGGACACAAGTGTATCAATGTGTGTAGCCGCATAAACCTTACCAGCAGTGACATATTGAATGGATGATACAATGAGGCGTATATACACGAACAAGTTTTAGCATATGTTGAAGAATGAACTTATAACATTTTTGATGCAAGGAAGGAAGTGAAGAATCAATTAAATAAGTCATAGGAGAATATGGAGCATTGAAAAGATTCCAATCAAGGCTGAAGGTAAAGCAACCTACTAGGAACAAGGTAGGCACGGATATCCTGAAGTGAAAGCAAAGCCTAGTAGAGCAGAAAAAGATCTTTGGGAGGACACAAGAGATAGGGTAGTGGAGGGAATGTTGAGGAAAATTCTCTACAAGCCTGAAATTATGTCATGGTGAATTGCAATTCAATATATATCTATCAAAAACTACTAATTAAATGAATGAAT